CCAGAGCGGAGACTCATGCAGAGACGGTGGGCTGTCAAGCCGCCTTTTCTGGGCTTACAGGAGCATCTAAAAGAGTCAGCTTAAACTTACACCTTTCAACACCTATTTGTTTTGTGTGTGCTTTTTTGGGGGGGGGGAAATACTTGAAAATGACAGATGTCAGCAGCTGCAACCTTGGTCAGCCTTCTTCCTCTGCCGAATGGCCAGGATCAAGGCTCCTCGCAGGCTCTCTGAGGCCACCCTGGTGACTCTATAAGGTTGCTGAACCCATAATACGGAACTACCAGAAGAGCAGCAGCAGGTGGGGGACCTGCAAGGTGCAGCCAGGCCGGGGAGCCCAGGAACAAAAGCAGGACTAGGACGAAGGCAGGAGCAGGTCCACCTTCCCCGTGCCTTTGATTGAGTCCCCTCGTGACCTGCTTGAACTCCATCCGAGGACTCCGTTTCCCCCTTTTGGGCTCCCACATCTTCTTAACCCCAGCCTGCTTTGAAGGTCCCAAAAGTTGTTGGGACAGGGGAAACGGTGCCCTACGAGTTTTGTTGTTCGGTGGCGTCATGTCAGAACCGACTTACAGTGACCCTACAAGGGCTTTCCAGAGAAGCAAGGTATCTAAGGAGCGGATTTTGCCAATCCCTCACTCTTCCCCCAGGGAGTTTCCACGGCAGAAGAGGGGAAATGAAACCCATGCCTTCTGAGTCCTTGTCCGTCACGCCGTCCACTACACCACACCGGGTTCCCAGTCGGACTGTAGGCACTCGGGATACCGTCTTAGGCTGCAACAGGAGACCAGTGTTGGCGGCTCAAGCTGGCAGTCGTGGGTCCCTGGGGCCTCTTCAGGCAGTAGCCCCACTTCTCTCTCTCTCTCTCTCTCTCACGGGATACCGTCTTAGGGTGCAACAGGAAACCAGTGTTGGCGGCTCGAGCTGGCAGTCGGGGGTCCCTGGGGCCTCTTCAGGCAGTAACCCCGGTCTCTCTCTCTCTCTCTCTCTCTCGTTCTCTTATTTCCCAAACAAGGGCCGCCACCGGGCTTCCTGCCAAATCAGTAAAGCTGGTCAATTATCACAGTAGTACACCACTCAAACAATAAAGTCATGCTGTTACAGTAAAGGAATGAAATCAGGATAATAGTAATTCTGTTCTCACACACATGGATACGCACCACACACTACAGGAGCCAAACACTTGTGTGATTTTTTTAAAAGTACATTTTTTAAAAAAACTGACATTATTGAGTTAATCATCTTTCCTCTGGAAACCCAGCCCATACATTAGGGAAGCGGGGTTTGCCAGTGAGGACACTCTGTTTCGGCCACTCTCTAGACAGACCAACCTGTCCAAATGAATCCTGGACAGAAGGAAAAAGATGGGCAAAGCTGGTGTTAACCAGGGCGTCTGAGCAGCTGGGAGGGTGACCCTCACCTCCACCTGTCACTTTCTCTCTCAGGTAGGGGTACATCTTTGCAAGTGACCCCTGTTGTTTTGCAAGGGATTTGAGTCTTCAGTGGACAATTACAGTAAGAGGCATTTGCTTTCCAAAAAAACCCTGCTCTTCATATGTCCATCAGAACCTATCCAGCCATCTGATTTCTCCTTATTGGGATGTGGTCTGGCTATGGGGACATGTCTGAACTGACCAGGAGGGAGATGAAAGACAGCTTCTAAACCTTGTGGAAAACTCAGCTTCAGACTTTGTCAGGCCTCCAGCAGAAGGGGGCAGGCCAGCCCAGCAAACGCCTCTCCCTTGCTTTCTGGATATGTTCCATCGAGGCAGGCTTGCTCCCTTCCAAGCAGGGCAGACCATAAAGGGAAGGAGGGTGGGTGGGTGGGCGAGGGGGTCTCTTGAGAGACCTTGGCCAAAGCTGTGGGAGGTGTGGACAGGTCAAGGCGAAAGCTGCTTCCCCCCCCCCCAATTTGGTCAGTTATTCTTCCTCTCCTTTACCTCCAAAACATTTGTGGAAAGGCTTTCCCGCCTGATGTTTTACATTTTTCTTTGTGGATGTTGACCAGATGGCTTAGTGTGATGCTGAAGCCATGCTGGACTTTAATCCCAGTTTTGAAATGTTTGTCTTTCCTGTCAGTGGTGTGAGGCCTCTTCTGCAGCTTTCTTCATTATCCCCTCTTCTGTCTTTTTAAAGAAATCTTAGCCTCCCCCCTCCGCCGCTCCCAGACCAGAATGCCACATTTCCCCACCCCCTCCCTTAGGGCTGCAGATGGGCAGCGTCCCATGGACCTCAGGTGTGTGGGGGTGAGACCCGCAGGTGGGGCGCTCGTAGCATTGGGAGGAGAGCAAGCCGTTGAGGACGAGCCACAGACAAGCTTTCACCGCCCTTCGCGAAGAGAAATCAATTCCCTGCGAGATCATCAGTGGATGCCTGGAGACCTCCCAATGCTTCTGCCTTCTCACCACCTCAATTTTGCCTTTACAACAGTTGCTGAAGTACAGTTAGGCCCGGGGGGGGGGGACAAAAACAGTCCCAGCCGCTTGGCCATGTTCTACCGGTGAATGCCACCCCCTCCCCATAAAAAAACTGGAAAATAGGGGGCATTTATAAAAAGAACAATGTGCTAATGTATATGCACTTTCATAAAATTTGCAATGCTTTTTGGTAGGTTAAGCAGAATGACCATGCATGTCCCCCCGGGTGAGAAGGAGTGGCAGCAGAAGGGGTTTGCTCTGCCCCTGGTACCAAGCGGCCACTAGGGATGGCTTGCTGAGGATGATGGGCTGGCCTTGGCTCCCTCCCCAGCCACCCCTGTTCCAAGTCATTGCTTTCTAATCAGCCCCAGATGGGTGAAGTCTTCTGACAGAGGTACCCTTGACAAGAGGACCGTCCCCTGCCTGGCGGTCCTTCAAAGAGAAGCCTGCAAAGGTGTTGAAGGGCCACATGCTTGCAAAAATTCTCAGTCCAGACAATGACCAAGAAAGGAGCCTCAGGCAAACATCCATCTCCAAGTCGAAGCTCTTAGTCCAAAAGAGAGGAACGTTTGAGAGAGAAAAGGAGAGAGGGAAAGAGAGAGAGAAAGCCAGGCAGGCAGGGCTTTCTGGATGCTTATCGTCCATTCCTCCCTTTGCACCTGCCCGTTTTCTTCCAGTTGCTCAGAGGGATGCTCGGGGCTTGTGTCCCAACACTGAGGGACGCCTGCTTAGAGATCGGGCACAGGGGGCCTTCCTTACTAAAGCCTACAAGCCTTTAGACACCCCGCAGAGTGCTGGCAACCCCAGGACTCACAAGATGGTTGGCCTTTGGTTTGCAAAACCAGCACGTGAGAAATATCCTCCATTCAGCCGTGGCTGCTAGACTGGACGTGAGGTCTATCGGTGCCACAAGGTGCCACAAACCACTTTGCTTGGCTCCTGTTCGTTGCCGACACAAGAGACGGTGGCCTCCCTGAAAGGGCCAAGCCAAGTACGAGTTGGTCTTATCGCTTTTAGTCGGTGCAGCTTTTCAGCAAACGTCCTTTCCAACTTTAAATGAGGAGCTTCCTCTTTTTAGTTTCTCTCTCTTTCCTTGCTTCCTGTTCAGATCTGCTGGAACATTCGGTTTTTGCCCCTTAACAGATTAGCCAATTCCTGTGCTTCGTCAGAGGGCTCTGGAATAGTTGTTTCCTACCTTCCCCCCCCCTCCCATGCGCAGTCTTTATTCCTCCCCATCAAAGCCATTTATTTTGGGCCTGATTCTGGCACAAAAGCCAACCAACCCTTTAGTCATCTACGGATGGAAAACGTCATACCTCTCAAATCTGGCGTAGCTGAAGAAGACTGGCCAACAGAATATAAGCATTGCCAGTCAGTATTCCGCAAACTGTGACGGCTCTTCGGGAGACCAAATGAATCCTAGATCTTACATTTGGAACTTTCCACTGGAAATGTGGCTGAATTCTTTCTGGAAAGACACCAGAATTCTCTCCCATTCGCAGGCAGGAGAAGAAATTCTGGCCGATGGTTCAGTCGAAGCAGAATGGAGGTACAAAAATCAAGGATCACTTTCCATTCCTGCTTCTGAGAACGGGTGGCATTCTGAGATCCCCCCCCCCGCCCCATCCTCACCTCCCCAATCTGGTAGAGCAGACAGAGGTTGAGATTAGGACTACAGGGACCTGGGTTCAAATCCCTACTTGGTGGTGGGAACTCCATGGGTGGTGGCAAGGCTAAGTCACCCCTTGAACATCTCACACACATGGGGGTTCACCATAAATCAGAAGCAGCTTAAAGGTTCATCCCACTTTCTTTGGCCATAACCTATTTCTGCTTGGTTGTCTACAATCCTGTTAAAAGTGTAGAGCGCACCAGATGTCTCCTGATACTTGTGTTATGTAAGCCTCAAGTCCCCCGTCTGCACCCCAGCTTCCGTTACATCTTTGGCTGCTTAAATCCTCTTCCTTTTCAGGAAACGGCTGAAGTGGGGAATATTACCCTGCTCACCAGTGGCTACAGATAAGAAAGAGCGAGCCGGGCAGGCTCCAGAGCCCTCTTGGGACTCATTAGCCAGGGACATGAGGGCAAGGATGATGGTGTTTCTATTAAAGGGTTGAAATCTAGGGAAGTCCAAAATATGCTGGCCTCACACCAGAGGCTCCAGGGTTGACCTCTTGGGTTTCTACTGCCCTTAGCAAAGAGTCACACGCCAAGGCATCCCACAAACAGAAAGGGGCAGAGAGAGGAAGAGAGAGAAATTCGCTGCATTTAGCCAAGTGGGACGGCGAAAGAGAAGCAGTTGTGGAGCAAATGGGAGGCATTGAAACCAAAGAAGATGCTTGACTGTGAGCACCCCAAGGCGAGGACCAGACTCGTTCCCACCCGCCCCATTTCATCTTCCTATCAGGGAAGCTCAGCCTTCAATCAATGGCACAAGAGAAGAAGTGATTCATCAAGAGCACCACCGGGATCGCATTGAACTGGCCTCAAAAAACCTCCTTGTTCAAACTCACCCCAGGAGATTGGTTTAAGCTTCAGGAGTTGCCCCTGACAATGACATTTACACGCAGCAGGCGAGGCGGGTACATGTGCCTGTGTCTGTGTTGCAACACCTCTTTTATTGGGTTGTGTTCTTATTCAACAACTTTCTTTGATCCACCGTGTTTTCTTTGGAAAATACAGAAGACAGGCATGCTTCGGCCCCCTCCCGCTCCACCTCCCCTCCCCCCCAATTCCACCCTGGCAGCTGGAGTTGTCAACCTCTGAAAACACCAGCTCCCAAAAACACCCCCCCCTCCCCAAGCCGTCGGTGTGTCCAGTGCAAAATACCGCCCATCCGGGCTGAAAACGTGGCTACGTGGCGACCAAAAGACCAAAGACATACACAGATGGGGTCTGAAAAGAGGCAGAATGCGCTTCCCCCCCCCCAACACAACACACACCCAAGTAGAACACTTGGTTTTTCCTCTCCCTGCAGACAATGGGAAGGACTCAGCTGGGTTGCTACACACGAGGAAGCCACCCTGGCCACTCTCGCCTCCGCCATGGGGCCTGAAAAAGGAAGAGGCACCTCATGGCGCTGGGCTCTGCTCTCTTTCTGACCCCCTGCCAGGTGGTTTTCACAGCCACCCTCCCACCCATTCCTTTTGCCCCAGCCTCACCTGCACCCCCTCCCTAATCTTGCCCTCGGGCAGGACCGGCACCTGCCACCACCCAATTAAAATGGATCCGCAGGAGATCCAGAACAGTACAGAGAAAAGGCATTATCCTGGGGGCTGCAAGGTCTGGGAGGCGGAAGGAACTCGGGGATGGGGGAGTGGCGGTGGTGGCTTCGAGAGTGTCTCAGCCTCCTTCTGCACCATGTGGGGCTCCCGGCAGCATCCAGCCTGCCACTGTGGCCGATGCTCAGGATTCAGGACCGGCCAGGCTCTCTTAGCAGCCCTGCTCCGGTCCTTCCTTCTGATACAGGAGTGGACGGGCCAAGAAGCTCCGGGAGGAGCCGCACAAGATGCAGCGCCCCCTGCTGGCCTTCTCTCAGCACCTCTTTTCAGGCAGTACCGATCGCAGCTGGTCTCGCTCCCTCTGCCACCACCCTGTGAGCAGAGCCGACGGATGCCATCATCCTGCCCAAGAAGCGCTGGGTCTAGAGACCTTACTTAGTCCTTCTCTTTTGCAAGCCTGGCCTGAATGAGCTAAGAAAAAAAAATCCCTGTCCTTCGGGCTCCCCGCTCCCCAAAGGAGAAGGCAGAGAGGCAGAGCCCGGGCTGGGAGGTCCCTCCGCCTTCCTTTCCCCCAAACGGGTCTCCAGCCAGCGGGCATCCGTAGTGCAAACGGGCTCCAAGGCCTCGGGAGCCAAGAGGACGACCCAGAGGGTGCAGCTTCTCCTGCTGGGATCTCTGAGCACCGGGTTTGTCCCAAAGCACTGGGGGAGGGGGGACCCCCTGCCCCCCCCTCTGCCTCTGCCCCTCCCCAACAGCATTGCACTCTCAGCGTGTGCAACCATCAGCCTTTAAATATAGATATATAGAGATAGATCTGGATATATATTATCAATATTCATATAGAGATTTCTGGAAAATATAGCTCTTGTGTTATCCTCTTTCATCATCATCCCTGTCCTTCATCCTGCCTCTCCGCAAGCGGTGCCTTCCGCCCCGTCCTCATGTTTGCAGGGACGAGGGAGCGCCCCTCCTCCCGCAAAAAGTGTTTAACAGGATCCAAGCCCTCCCCACCCAGCACCCCGTTTTGCACACTTGCCCCCTCCCTCCCTCCCTTCCCCCCCAGGAGGGGGCAGTCCCTCCTCCCGGCCCCTCCCTTAGACAAGGCGCCACTGGAGGATGCTGGTGTCGGTCCCGCCGGTGGAGAGAAGCAAGCTGTCGTCGTGCAGGAAGGCAATGTTGGTGACGTGGCTGCTGTGCCCGTTGTAGGTGTGGCTGGGGGCCTGCAGGGGGAGGGAGCGTGGGAGGGGATCTGTCAGCATCCCACAGGACAGGCAGGTGGTCCCCACTCCGGAAACCCCAGCTTCAGCTTGGGTGCGCGAAGCACATCAAAAGGCAGCGCCCGAATGCTCAGGCACCTTGAGCCGATGGCTGGGGTTCCCCGGCCTCCCTTCTCGCGGATGTTCGGCCTCAGGAGCCCAGGAGGGGCCCTCCAGGAGCCACACTGAACCGGGGGCAACGTGGGAGGCACCTCCCTTGCCTGCAAAATTGCCGAGGAAGAGGAGGAGACAGGAGGGAAGGGGACCCTGCCAGAGGGGAAGAGAAGGCCCCAGAGAGAGCGCGGCCTGGCCCCACGGACCCTTCGAGGAGAGGGACAGGGAGGCTCACCCGTGGCTGGCAACAGGGGTAGGAGAACAAGTGCACTTTGCCAAAGTCGTCAGCAGAGGCCAGGAGCTTCCCATCGTGGGAGCGGCAGACGGCGTTGATGTCGGTCCCGTCGGCTCCTTCCGGCCAAATCCCTAGTAAGAGAGGCCAGGGAGTTGCTCGGCAGCAGAACAGGAGAGGATCGCCGCGCGCACACGCACCCCGATCCCCATCTCCCACCCTGGTGGACTGGGAGTCCTGTCGCCAAGCACCGTCTCGCTGCCATGTGGGGCTCCCTGCTCTGATGACCAGCCTTTCCATCCATGTTTCTGGGTAAACGGGGGGCCCTCCCCCACAGGAGCAGAGGCGCTGGGAACTAGCGGATAGGATTTGGAGGATCCCATCCCCCACGCGGGATCAAAACCCATCGGCTCCCATGACTGCCAGACGCCAGCCGTTCTGCAGCCTGCCAGCAGCTGGGCACCCCGGGAGGGAGGCCACCCCAAAAGCCTGCTCTGCCTGGGCTCATCCCCTTGGGGTTGTTCTTTGGCCCTTTCGGCTGCAAGGGCTCTTGCCCTGTACTGCCCCCTGATGGCGCAACCTGGCACAGGCTTTCCTCACTCCTCTCTGGCCAAGACGGCCCTCATGCCCCCCCCCACAGCCATCCAGCCTTCGCCATGCTTACCGAACACCCCAAAGCCCAGCACGCAGGTGACGGCCGCCCACTCCATGTTGCGCACAGCCTCGGCGCTGGTGATTTGCCGGCAGGTGGCGGGATCCCCTGCGAGAAGGAGGGGGAGAGGCAGAGAAGCACAATCATCAGCACGGGCACGTCACACGCACCTTGGTCAAGAAGTTTGAGCTAAGCCTGGGTCATGCGCATGGCAGGAAGGAGAACATCCTACCCAGAAGGAGCACAAGGTTGGACTCGATGGCCTTTAAAAAAAGGCCCCTTCCCACATCATTATTCTATGATTATTCTATAATTCCATGAAAACCAAAATCACCAGAAACAACCATCTGGCTGTCACGATCAGCTCTCTCGGTGTCAAAAGAGAAGAAAAGCAGCATCTCCCACCACCGCCACCTCCTGACTGCGGTCTTGGAATATTAGTCCTTGAGTTTCTCCTCCTGCCAGCGCGAACATAAAACTGAACTGGAAGTCAGCCGGAAGGTGGTTGTCCAAGGACCACCAGTGGTGGAAGCCGACGCTCCGCATGGGGATGGCTGTCTCTTCCTCACCCCGCTCCAAACACAGGAACGGGTCCAAGCAGTGCCAACACACCTTGAACGCCGAGGGTTCGCTACTCACAGTATAGGATCTCATAGTCGCCGGAATTGGTCACCAAGCAGCTGCTGTCAAAGGCCCAGTCCAGATGGGTGATGAAACTGGAGTGACCCTGAAGGGGAGGGAGGGGAAACCGGGGGGGGGGTTTGTAAAGTTATGGGTTAGAAAAGATCTGGAAGGGGAATGTTGACTCCCCCCACCCCCGTCAAACACACAAAGTCCCACAAAACCTTAGCCAGTAATTTGGTTTCCCGGAAGGAGAGAGAGAGAGAGTCAGTGGAACTCACCGCACTAGGAACAGGCATAGTCTGATGGGCCCCCATCCCCATGCACACATACACACACATCACTAAACCTAGATACGGCATCAGCCCCTTGCTTGGTAATGAGGCTGGCGCTTGGTTTACTATCAAAGGCACTCCGTTTTTTTACATCTTCAAAATATAAATTAAACCCTGGAAAATTAATGCACTGTTCAATAGGCAAGAGTCATTTTTATAAAATGAGTGAAAATGCTAAAAATTCCCCCAAAGAAGGTGATTTTTAATATACCCCAAGCAATTTCTGCTAGAAATGTGTAGTAGGGGAATGTCTGAGAGAGCAGTGCCTCCTGCAGACCATTTGTGGTACTGAATGAGGGCAGCTGTCACCCATTAACTACTTGGGACAGGGTGGCAGGGGAGGAACCGTGGGGGAGACCCAGGGAGCAGGAAACCCCCCCCCCCGGTATCCCACACATGATTATGAATGATGGCATCGGCTGCCATCAAACGGGTCTCGCGTGGTTCCAGATCCTTGAGAGATGCCAGTTATAAACTCCCCCCTGAGCACAAGACAAAGGCTCCCCAAGGAGTGCTCCCACTCACCGAGCACTTGCCGACCCGACCATATTTTCTGCCGCCCTCGGAAACCAGGTAGATGTAGACGAAGTTGTCATGGGAGCCCAACGCCAGGTACTTCCCATCTGTAAAAGACGAAAGGAGAGCCCGGAGGTGGGAGGCTAGCCCCAGCGCCAGAACGGGAGGAGCAGAAGCAAAGGCCCCCCGCTGGCTGTTGCTGGCGGGGGCAGGGAGGAGAGGCTGTTACCCAGGGCCCTCTGGCCTCCCACGTGCCTTTCCTTGTATGACTTTCTTTCCCCTGATTCAGGAACGGAGGGAGAGACCCACCGGAGGAGCTGTTTTGAGCTGCTCTCTAAAAACCCAATGCCCTTTTCCAAACCAAATGCACTTTGCAAAGTCAGAATCTGGTCAGTGATGGCTTGTGGCTCCAGTTTCAGGTGCGGGGGGGGGGGCTGTGAATCCATTGATAGCCAGGGTGGTGTAGTGGATAGACTGAAGGGCTAGAACTCAGGAGGCTTGGGTTTGAATCCCTGCTCAGCCAGGGAAGCTCAGTGGTGGAAGTGAACTGGCAAAACCCCTCTTAAATATCTCACTTACCTTGAAAACCCTATTTTTGGGGGGGACCACTATAAGTTGGTTCTAAATTGATGGCACAGGACAAGAACAATGAATCCATTGCAGGTTTTAGTCTGCACTTTACAGAAGTTATCTAAGATGCCAAACTAATTTGGAGGACATGATTTAGCACATAGGAGAGGTCTTGTAAAGGCCAGGCTAAAATCTGAAGTGGAATCATGCTATTCCTGAAACTGGACTCATTCAGCACCAGCCGGTTACAACTGTCTGAAGCTCCAGGCTGCAGAACAGATGCTATCGAGAGGTGCTGACCCTCCCCCTCGCAGCACCCCACCCTCCTTTCTTAGCTCCTTCCTCCTTTACCTGGGGAGAAGCTGACCACAGAGATGGGCTCCCCTCCGTCAGTGTGGATCGTCACCAGGTCCCGGGTCTCCGTGTCAAGCACCAGCCACCTGGTTGGAAGGAAAACAGGGTGGGAAGGATTTTTTTTTAAAAAAAAGGCATGAGTGACCCACCGGGTAGATGAAATAAAAAAGGTCTCATGGAGGAAGGACCACAGCGAGGGAAGGCCCTGACACAGAAGGTGAACCACTTCACGCTTCCTTAGAAAAGACTGAGCTTGGCTTTGGGAACCAGAGGAGTCCATTCTGCGCTTCTCCCCTCTGAAGCTGGCCACCAAGACCACCATGTGTGGGCCCGTGGCGCAGCCACCAGAGAGCACCCACCCTCCTCGTCTGTGAAGCTCAAAATGCCCCATTCATTACCTGCCAGTGACGGTGCCCACCACGAGCACCGAGCCGTTGGGGTGGAAGCCGGCTGAGCGAGCCGCATCCTGCCGGAGAAAGGGAGAGCCATACAGGAGACGTACGACCGCGTGCAATGCCCCGCGGAACCCCTAGCCCAGCCCCCCCAGCCCCCTCTCTTTCCGGGCCCCCGCCCTCCTCCTGCTCACCTCGATCGCCTTGCTCCAAATGGGCTGGTGGGTGGCCACGCTCCACAGGTGAACCTGCTTGTCTTGTCCACAGGTCAAGAACTGGTCGAGGGTTGGGTGGGTCGCCAGGCCCCACAGCTCCTCCGTGTGTCCCTGGACAAAGCAGGGGGGAGAGTGGATGCGGAGCCCAGGGCCCCCTCCAGCCTTTCCACCACTGCAAAGCAGCCCCCACCCTGCCCTGCCCTGCTGGGTCCCAGCCTGCTCGTCTCTCAAGAAGGCAGGTGGCTGAACCCGAACTCCCAGCTCCCGCCTTGCTTCCTTGAAGGAGCCCATTACCTGCACCAAGAGGGAGAAGCCGGTGGCCAAGGAGCCGTGAAGCACCGAATTCCGGGTGGTGCCCACAAAGAGGGTGTCTCCCTTGCCCTCGGCGACTGTTCGCACGGGTCCAAAGCCCTCCGGCACCTGGGGGAAGAGGCGGAGGGGACAACAGGGGCGCAGGCACCAGTCGGAACGATTCGTCCGAAACAATTTAGAACCACACTTTGCTTTTTCAGATCGGAATCAAGCAAGCAGGATTTCGTTCCCCTGGGCTTTTTAAAAGGAAGAGCCAAACTTCGGGCATCAATGGCTTTAACATGCCAGTTTGAATTAAATAAATCTGTTTGCCATCAAGGTGCCTCCGGGCTCTCTTCTGCTGTCCTTCGTTGTTCTGAGAGGGGCTGGCCCAGCGGCCTCTTTGAAAACGAACCGCCCCACATCATCTGGATATACAGACATGTGGCCTGACCCTGTTGCTTCTCTTTTCCTCTGAACTGTGTGCGGTGGAGTTTGAGGAGGCTCTTCGCAATAAGCAGGGAGTGGCATGTACCTTGGCACTGAGAGTAAACACTCATGCAAGAAGAACACGTTGAATGGATCTGCTTTATATCTTTCAAAGGGTTTGAGAAGGAGACTGTGTTTTTTGCCAGTCGCTGGCTGCTGAAGAGAAGCCCCGGGGAAGACCTGGCCGGCCACTGTCGACTGACAGGATGCCAGGCTGTTACAGGGCCATGCGAGTCCCGTCCTCCCCCCCCCTCCGCCCTGTGAGAACTTTGTGCCTGTTGGCCCTCCTCCCAGAGCTGCAACGGACGTGCAGAAGCGCCGCCTGGCAGCCCTTGGGCATCTTCATGCCCCACTTCTTGCAGTTGCCTTGAACAGGTCGTGGCAAGCCTAGAAATGCCTCTACCGGAGGGACTTCTTTCCCCCACTTCACACACACACATACAAGTACCTCGTTCTCCTGCAGCTTCTGGTAGTCCCGACCCCAGAGCACGACCCTCCGGTCTCTGCCGCCTCCCGTGACGATGGTGCCGTTCCGCAAAACACATAAACCAAAGATGCCGCCTTCATGGGCACCGGGCACCGCGTGGGAGATCCGGTTCCCTCCTGCCAGCCAAAGGATGCTGTTGGTTCCAGAGAATGGGTCACACCTGCCCTCCCTTCACCCGCCCCTGCTCCGGGATGCTCCTCTGCACAGACAAAACATTTCCATGGCAACAACCAAAACTGGATCCGCATAAAGCATCTTTCGCTTGCCCCTCCTAGGCACGCTTTCTTGCGAGTGAGTCCCTTTGCAATCCGCGGGACCTCCTCTGGAATTCATGTGGACCGGCTTGTGCCCAGGGAGGCCCACCTGGTGGCCAGCCTTCCGTCCCCTGGCCCTGCAGGAGTGTCCGGGCCCCGATCCTGTTCCTCCTTGGCTCTCCCCAGGACTGACCTTTCCCCCAGATGTAGAGGTTCCCCCCGGAATCGCCAGTCACGGTGTCTCCGTTCTCTGTGAAGGCTATGCAAAGGATGTATTTCGGTTTCTCGTGTTTCTGTGGAGGGAAAAGGGTGGGGGGAGAGCAAAGAGGAGCCTCAGCGCAAGAAGGACACCCACCCAAGCGAGGCCAGTTTAGAAGCCTCCCTCGGGCCCCCATCCATGGGAAGCTAGCCAAACAGAAGGCAGC